AGGAATTCCCTTGCATTTTTGGATTTAGCTTGGTCTAAGATGCTGACAGTTTCCCAGCTGAGACTTTCAACCCTGAGCTACACATATTTGCTTCTATTGGAATCAAACTTCTGCAGTCAATAGTCATGTTCCCCCCAAATTCTTACTCCTTCCATTTTGTCAATTACATTACAAAACGTCATAGACTTCATAAACCAATTACAACTGTGTTTGTCCTGGGGAAAGAAGTGCCTGATTGGGCTTCCCTGGCTAGTTAGGAAGTGATGGATCACCTGCTACCCACATCTCACCTAGAATCACTCAGTGAATGTAGATGTGCAACATTATTTTCCTTTTTTGTTTGTAAAGACTCCTGAAGTAGAGAAGCAACAGAGTGAGTGAAGCATGAGATGTAGTGAACCTAACAATGAAAACAAACTTTGGGAAGACTTTGGAAGTAAATGCTGCCACCCACTGGTTGCACCATTCATGTATGAAGAAGTAAATTCATAGCTAAAGTTTTCCAACTTCCTTCTTAAGATAAATCTAAAGCTGCCATTTTAAATGAACACATCTTTTCATTATGATGTGTCAACGCTTAGCAACCACATAGATAGACCTTCTCCAGATCTTCCAACAGTGCACCCCTCACTGCTGAAATCAAGTACATCCTCCTTGCTGCTGGTTGTTCTCTTCTTCTCTTTCTTTCTACTTTCCCAGCATTATGGGAGCAGGGTCTTCCCATAATGTTCTCCAAAATATGATAGTTTGAGTCTGGTTATTTGTGCCTTGAGTGAGAACTTTGGATCAACTTGTTCGATGATTCATGTTTTCTTGGCTATTCATGGTATTCTCAGGAGTCTTCTCCAGCACCAATATTCAAAACCATCAATGCTTTCTATCCTATTTGTTCTGAGTCCAGAACAATTCTTTAAAGAAACAAAGAAGATTTTCTCTAAATACTCAATAAGGATTGAATATTCTCTGTGTCCTCAAAGGACACTGTGAGAAGGCAGGAAGAAGTGAAAGCCTCAAACGAACCATGTTTGCTAGGGGAGAGCGCTGTGCACCATGGGGCAGCCTTGGGGGGGACGGCAGGAGGGAGGAAATACTGTAGGCAGAAGGCACGTTCGCACCAGAGTGAAGAGAAACGGCAGGGGGCGGCTGTTGGGTCAAGTGGGTATTGCAATGTGTATTGCGTTGATTGGATTCGGAAAGTGGGATGTCTGCGGTTTTGCGGTTAATTAGCGGCGCTCCGGGGCAGTAAAAA